AGAAAGAGGGAAAACTCATCCAAACCAATGCAGAAATCTTGGAAAAACCTATCTTACAGCTTTCAGCCTACAAAGGAGCTCTGATTAAATCACAAGGACAAATCCCAGATACAACTGAAAGCTATTTGAAGGAAATCATATAGGAAATACAAGCTCCATGCCCCTGTGAAGATCACATAAAGGGCTTATTTATGAATAATAATCTGCTCTGGTTATACAATACCAATGTTACTGCAGTTGCAGATGGCAGAGGAGAACAGAACCATACTCTGGGCTTTACTTTCTGGACTGGTTTTCTGAGGGAATGATACCCATCACAGTAATCTGCCCTCTCTTTTTTTTCAAACACAAATAATTATCAGTTGGCCAATTTTAAAACCATCTGACAGAGAGAAAAGGTCTTAAGGATGGTGAATAGCTGGAGTTTGATGGAAAATTGTCTGGGCAGGAGAAGAGTGACCCAAATCAGTGTCCTAGGGAGGGAAATTTGTTATGTGAAGTCAGAAGCTGGCTGGCCAGAATGGCCACACAGGCACCAGCTGAGCAGGAGCCAAAACCAGCCCATTACTCTGCATTTCACCTGGAGCCTCAGATGATGAAGAATGAGCAGGGAGGATGACGGGAGGAGAAAATGAGAGGAAACATGAGAATCAAGGACTTGAGATTATTGCTGTAGAAAGCCCTAAACACACAGTACCATGATATAGAAAGTAAAATTTCATTAATTCAGGTGTTCACAATTTTGATTTTCAGCCCTGTGTCTACACAATATGGATTCCTTGGAGGTTTGCAAGATGCTGTCTGGAAAAGACAATCTGAGAAAAGGACACTTTTGATAAAAAGAAGTGCTAAAGTAGAATGTTTTGCCTCAGACAGTTGTGTGAAGAATTATTTTTTCCATATTCAAAATCACCATCTCAGCTACTACCTGTGTGTAGCTACTAAGAGGATGTTGATGTTATTCTGATTTTTGTGGTACCTGTCCAAAAGGTTGAGCTGGATTTTACCCAACAACACACAAAGGCCTCAGAACTATAATCAGGTGGCAAAAAAAATCATTTTGATACTGCACACTCAAACTTAGGTATCTAACAGTAAGATTAATTTCTATTAGGACTCTATTCCATGAAAAGTGAAAGCCCAGGACATCAGTCTAAATGTTCAAAAGTATTTATCAAAATGCAATTGATAATGCAATGAGAGTTACCACACTACCTGTACCATACAGGGAAAGATGCCTTTGTTTAGCTTGTAGGTTTTGTTGGGGTTTTTTTGGTGTGGTTTTGTTTTGTTTTGGTTTGTTTGTTTTTTTTGGGTTTTTTTGTTGTTTTTTTTGTTTTGTTTTGTTTTGTTTTTTGGGGGTTTTTTTTTGTGTTTTTTTGGGGTTTTTTGTGTTGTTGTTTTTTTGTTTGTTTTTTTAACTATAGGCTTACATACCAGTGGGAAAAAGAGATCCCAAATCTTGCCAATTGGCACAACTTTTTATCAGATCCAGTGCTTTCTCCAGCATGTTCAAAATGAAAGGCTGATTCAGCCTGGAGAAGAGAAGGGTTCCAAATCTTCTAACACCTTCCAGTGCCTAAAGGGGCTCCAAGAGAGCTGGACAGGGACTTTTGGAAAGGTCATGGAGTGGCAGGAGAGCAGGAATGGCTTTACACTGCCAGAGGGCAGGGTTACAGAATCACAGAATTTTCAGGGTTGGAAAGGACCTCTGAAGATCATTCAACCCAACCCTGTCAAGGCAGTGTCACCTGGAGCAGGTGACACAGGAATGTGTCCAGGTGGGTTTGGAATGTCCCCAGAGAGGGAGACTCCATGGCCTCCCTGGGCAGCTGTTCCAGTGTTCTGCCACCCTCAACATAAAGTAGTTCTTCTTCATGTTGAGGTGAAACTTTTTGTGTTTTAGTTGGTAGCCTTTGGTCCTTGTCCTGTCACTGGGCACTATTGGTAAGAGTCTGGCACCATCCTGTGACACCCCCCTCCCCTTGGAGATACTTAAATGGATTGGTGAGACCCCTATTATTCTCTTTTCTAGACTAAACAAGCCCAACTCTACACTATCTCTTCATAAAGGGGCATGCTCCAGACCCTTCATCATCTTTGTAGCCTCTTCTGAACCTTCTGCAGTAGCTCCTTGTTTAAATTGTACTGAGGAGTCTGGGTTAGATTTTAGGAAGAAATTCATCCCTGCGAGGGTGGTGAGGCCCTGGCACAGGGTGCCCAGAGAAGCTGTGGCTGCCCCTGGATCCCTGGAAGTGTCCAAGGCCAGGCTAGACAGGGCTTGGAGTGACCTGGGACAGTGGAAAGTGTCCCTGCCCGTGGCAGGGGGTTGGGTAGAGATGGGTATTAGGGTCCCTTCCAATCCAAACCACCCTGTGATTCCATGAAAATCCAGTAAGGAATGGCAGCAGTAAGCCATGGGCTGGTGAGGTGTGTCTGCTCCCAAGAACTTGCTCAGTCTGACTTAGGCTGATGTTCTTACTGGCAGTTTAGAATAAGACACATAATTAGATCTTCCTAATGGTTTCCCTATTCCCAGGAGAGTTTAAATGATGAGTTTGAAAGATGTAATTCCATCAGAATAAGAAATATTGAAGTGCCTGTGAATTGTGAGGTGGAATTTTAGCACTGTGTGTTCTATCCGCAATAATTTCCCATGTTATGCAGATAATGAAATCAAATCTCTGAAATAAAGAGCTAAGTGACCTGGGGAGAAAATGAAAAATCTGTCTTAGATGGGTGATTACTGAACACTTGCAAGGGAACCTGACTATCAATTGGAAGAAAAAAAAAATCTGTCTAGATCTATATCAATATCTATATATCTATATCTATATTTTTTATCACCAAAACCTCTGTTGTAGGTTATCTGGTTTTATGGTGTTAACATTAAACTTCCAAAGTCTGAAAAGGAAGCTTTAAAAGGGATGTATTAAAAACAAAAGGCGTGATGATACACAAAGTTGGTTGTTTTTCCAATGATTTTGCCCAGAACAGGAAGATTGAAATAGTGGGACTCTGTAATCTCCACTGCAGCTCATTTCCTCTGAATTTTCAGGCCTCTCTCCCCAGCCATTAAACCAAGCCCTCAGTGACATCCTCATATTCTGGAATTTAGCAGAGTGCACAGGCAGGTCTGGGCAGCCACACAGGTACACTGCTGATTATATTCATGTGATGAAGCAGAACATTGATTGTGATTCTGAAGGATCATGATTTACAGTCAGAATGCACATTGTTGAAATCAGACTCCATCTTGGCTCTATGTTTGTGCAAAACCCAGCACAATTATGATTTAATCTTGATTAGTTTACTAGCAATCTCCACAATTTAATAAACATTATACCTGTGTGATTAACTTCTGTAAATATCAGAAACTGCATTAAAAATTTCATCTCCAAGCAAGAAAATACAGTATGTGTGCTTCACTTTACCCACATCCAGAGTTCCAACCTCTCTGAGGCTGAACATTCCAGAGGGGTGAATACACATGAGAAGCAGACAGCTTATTAAGCTTAAAGGTGCCATTTTTATATCACGTTTCAGAGTAAATTTGGCTTTAGGGATGAGTAATTCAGGGAACTGCTGAGAGCCTCACACAGAACTAACTCATGTGTTAGTCTGCTACTTCCTTGAAGCAGTGAGAACAGAGGTGGGAGGCAACACATGGTCCCAGCTCCACTGCAGAGCCGAGGATCCCACAAATTTGGAGGTCAGAACAGCAGAGATCTTTCTTCTGTCATTAGCTGAGCAGCAGATGTGACACCAGGCTTTATATAGGAGACTCAGTGATTCACATTGACTGTACGTCCACTGCCATGGGTTTGTCATTTGGCAAAACCAGCTCTGAGAATATGATCTCCAAACACGTCTGCTAAAGGTTAGGAAGGAAGAGCAGAAATGAGCTGAGTTTTAGCAGTGCAGAGCAATGATTTCAAAATGCCTACAGGGGCCACTCTTTCCGAAACTATCGTGCTGCAAATAGGTATCTGAAGATATATTCAAATTTTTACTTGGTTTGGCAGTTTTCTGATTTGGGATCATTTTCACAGAAGCCAGGTAGAATTTTCTTCATCATCATCATCATTATGATCATTATTATTTTTGTTGTTGTTATTACTTAATTTTTACAGAAAATGCAGAAATGGCATCATCTCAAAGAGAGACAAAAGAGGTCAAAACAGGCAATCTGTACTGCCTTAACTTGAAGGTGTGAATAGAAACTTAAAGATTTCTCCCTTTTGGTTGCCATCTTCTTTCACTTCTTTTCCAACTCCAGCTTTTTGAATTGACCTTTCTTTCTTATCACAAAACACAATGATAGATGTAATAGAAGAAGGCCAAAATTTATGGTTTAAACTAGGCTTTGCAGTTATTCATAAAATCATAAGATAGTTGGGTTTGGGCCTTTAAAGGTCTTCTGGTTCACTTCCCTGTGCCATGGGCAGGGCCATCCTCAAGGAGATCAGGTTGCTCAGGCCCATCCAATCTGGCCTTGAGTGTTTACAGGGATGGGCCATCCACCTCTCTGGGAAAATTGTTATTTATTACAACTTTCTATATCTTCACAGGATCTTTATTTAATACAGTACCTTGGAAGCTCTCTTTGAACACATTCTGCAATTATAATTTTTCTTTTTCATATTCTACTCATCTTTCCTGTTGCTCCAGTGAGAGTATTCAAATAAAACACAAATAAGCACATATGCCAGTGTTTTTATGGCTGGGGTTTCTGGGCTGCCAAGGCAGGGAAGGTCTGGACAATCTGCCTCCCCCTCCCACATGGAAAGACCATTGGTGGTTACACTTGGAATGCATTTCTTTCTTCCTTTTTTTTCTCTCAGGAAATGCTGCTACTTTGCTTAATGTCATATGCAATGCAGAGCCATATCTAAATGAGGACACCAATTCTTTGTACCTCCACATGTAGTGAAACCAGTCTGAAGTTGGAATGCAATGATTTCCTTGGAAAATTAAGCATTATTAAAAGCACAGCTCACCTGTCTCCGAAGGTCTCGTGTTTTCTTGGTCATCTTGTCAATGGCAATGTTGAGTGGGTCTCCCTTCTCCTTCCTTCCAGTCTGTTAAAAACCAAAAATTTTAGAGTTATAGAAAAAACCTCCAGGTAATATAAACTTAAAAAAAAAAAAAAAAAGAAAAAGTAAGCAATTAATCAAAGGAAATTTTTGCAGCTTTTTTTGTTTGCTACCATCAAGATGTTATTTCCAAAGTAATGTTTTTAACGTGTTTATGTGCAGGAGGCACAGAAGATTATTTTAAAACAATCCTAAAGAGATAAGAACAAAGATTAAGGTGACCCACTAGAGAGTTCAGAACTTTTTCACCAAAAAATTATGTGCATATATTATAGCTAATACTCCAAAAAAAATCTGGCAAGACCTTTCACTATAAAACGAATATTAAGAGTTTCTAATCTCCATCCTGCCAAGCACTGGGAATGTTAAACATGATAATAAGCAGCAACACAGCTTGAGGACAGAAGGAAAATGGTCCCTACGCCTGTAACAGGAATCACATTGGCAGACATTAGGTTCAATATAAAGAAGAATTCCACTTAAAACACTTTACTGCAGGAAGTCTCAAAGCAAAACTCCTCACGAAGATTAAAAAGGAGGAAAAAAGCCTTTTGTGGCTCATAACCAATGGGAGGAAAATATGGTTTTTAGGTTCAACGGCACAAAAAGCATTAAGTGACTTTGTTAGCCGTATTACCTTTCTCTTAAGAGAAAACTACTTCTCTAAAGATTTGTCACATCTCTTGCACATTGAACTCTGTTTGAAAGCTTTTCATCAAGAATCAAAATGATCCTCCATTCTTTCTGGCAGTACTCTTTCCTTCCCAAGGCTGTTTTCAAATGCTTCTATTTAGAATTGTTCCTTGCATATGATTAAGAGCGATTTTCTCTCTCCAGCTGAGCCTAATAGCACACGTTTCTGGGAGCTATTGAGAAGTCACTTTTGGGGTGGGATGGGGATTAAAGACGCCCTTTCAATGATATCCTCTCACATGTACAGCACAGTGATCAGCCCTACATTGGCAAGAGGCCTCTGTTCCAGTCCTTGCTTTAGGCATTCATTCCAGAGAACGCCTGCTTTCTGTTATTGCCTTTAATTCCAATTATGACACGAGGCCAAAGCTTTTATGATCATTTAGAAATCTGTAAAACCCATCCCCCTTTTTTATTTAAAAATTCAAACACAACAATATCAAGTGCCACCAGAACTTAATACAAAACATAAATTTACCTCTTAGCTTTCTAAAAAGGATCCATTACAAATTCTGGAGTTAATCACACAAATTGACACCAGAAAACAGAGAGATGAAGCATTTGCTATCACACAAGAGGAGGCATCTGTGTCACCCGCTGATATTTTTATCCCACTTTTCTTGCATTCATCCTTTGACTGAGTTCTTCTGGTCCTCAGCTCTTTAGCCTGAGCAATGTCAGCACAGGCTTTTGGTTTTAGATGTCCTGAATTCAGTCCCTGGTATTTTGTTCAAGACAGCAGCTGTCATATGTGCACACAATTGAGCCTGTTTTTTTAAGCTGAAATTTCACAATAAAGCTGAGGCATTAAAGTTTGGTTCAGGAAGCCTCTCCTGACTGTTGGAATGGTAGAGCAGGGACTGCCAGATGAGCCAGCCTCAGCCAGGTTCTAGTTTGTTAGACTACAGAGTAATAATTCTAAGAAAACCTAGAAATAAAGAAAATTACTCCCGCTGTGTGCTGTGCTGTTGCTGAACCAAGTTTCCTTGGTGACATTCATGTTCTGGGATGCTTTATTTTCCCAGTCAAATAATTCAATTTATCTAGTATCTTTAAATATCTTTAAATTCTTCTCTATCTTCTCATTGTTTGAGCTTTAATAGGCTGGCTTAGAAAGATCCATAACCACAGAAGATATGTTAAGACTTTTTTTTAGGGCAAAGATAACCTTTGGCACTTTTTCTTTCCTTATTTTTAATAAAATCAGGGAATAATTTGCTAACCAGGCCAAAATTCCTGTGACTATTATCACAATGTGAATAATCAAAGAGCAAACACCAAGTCACTTAAGACTACATAGGGATGGCATTTTACAGTTCTCAAATAAAACAAGTGGTTCACAATTCCTATTCACTGATCTCATGCAGAGCAGATATATTTTGTATTCACCACCAACATGGTGAGGTCAAGCAATTAATGCTTGGCATCCATTTAGGGGGTCAGAAAGTTGTCCTTGAGGAGGAACTTGGGAATCCTACCAGGACAGTCAGCTATGGGATACAGTGACACTAAATAAATTAAGCATTTGATAAACTGCACCATTTAGAGGAAAAGGCTCCTGGGCATTGGGGAAAGAAAAAAAAAAAAAAAAGGTAGAAATTTTGAGATTGACCTCAAAGTTTGTAATTTAGGTTCCTAATCTGGGTGTTTTGTGTGTCTCATAGGTGGAAACCCTCGCTGAGAGCAGGCCCATGGCAGCCTAAATCCAGCACCCCTCCTAAGCCTCCCTTTCAAATCTATCTGGTAACTTTTTCACTCCAGTTTTAAATAAACAGTTTTATATAAACAGTGGCCCTTAAGGTACATCCTGTTGTGAAACACAAAACAACTGGGAGCCCTTCTGTGACCCTTAGGCCACACAACACAAACTGTCAATATCCATCTGGCCGGTCCCTTGTCCCTCCAAAACACAGCAAAGCCTGTTCCACACTGCTGTGTGCAATTGCTGAAATTGTGCCTCCATGCTGCCCGAGATGCTAAACGAGATGTGCTGGAAAACTAAACCAAAACATGAGATCCAACTGAGCTCTTTCAATGGCAGTATTTTATTAACTCACACAAATACGGCTGAAATTTCCCATTCTGCCCCATTTTTACTTTTCCAGGAATTTTAAGTGTCCTTCACCTATTACTTATAAAATGGCTACTGCCTTTTAGTCTGTATACAAACCCCCTTCTTCACCATATGATTTCAAAGAAATTTGTTTAGTAAATCACATTATTGAAAAATAACTAGTGGCATGTGATGCTACATAGCTTCAGGCAGGTCTGTCAAACACCATCTGCTCTGTGCTGAAAATATAAGTTTATTAAAGTTTATTTATTTAAGTCCTTAAATACTCTTATTGTATTGTTGCTCTGTGATAAATTTTTGGCCTTCATTCTTAGAAGGGATAGAAAGGAATTTATTCGTTTCCTGAAAAAAATGAAAAAGCTTGGTATTGAGCTGTTTGCCATTTCTCTGTTAATCTTTCTCTCCAAAGGGAAGAAAGATACTTTGGGATGAAAAGGAAGTAAAAATTGCTGCTGGCATTGGGTTAAAAGGAGAAGGAGGAGAAATGCACAGAATTCCTTGACTGCCAAAATATCCATATTCAAGTTCCTATGGACAGAATTACATCTATTCATGGTGTAATGAGGAGAACTTTGCAACACGAGAATATATTAATCAAGTCCCTGATTTCTTGTGACCAATAACAGCATTTGCATACTGCTCCTACTCGAGAGTTTTTCAAACTATTTTCTCAGTCTGAGTTGCTTCCATTCTAATTTCCTTAGAGCTTTTCCCTGCCCATCTGATTTATTCTCAGTTCAGCATGTGCCAATTCCCACAGGGTCTGACCAGGGGCTGTGCTGGCTGCAGACTCCCCCAGCTCAGGAGAGGATTTTCCAACTGCATTTCTACCCCAAGGTTGCAGTTCCCTCTGAGGTCACTCAAGGTCAGATCCAGCTCCCTGAATAGAACATTCAAGGGTTTTTAAGCCTGATTTTCCACCTGACATGAGAAGTTGTGTAATCTCTCAACACATCCATGTCTGGTAAGTGGAAGAAATCAAGGTACTGACTGTTCTATCACTCTAGAAAATGCCTGCTGTCTCAACCAGTGTCAACAGTATTTCCTGAACAATAAAGACAGAACACAGTCATTTATATTAAGCAAAGTCTGAAAAGCCTTACAGGTAAAACTGCATGGTATTAAGGCTAGAACTTATTTATACAGGGAATTTCAACTTTCTTTGGTTAGGAAATGAAATAAAATAAGAACAAAAAGCACTTAAGGACGGTGAGAAATTTCAGCACCTGCTGAACGCCAGAAAGATCTCTGCTAAGGTATAACACTGTTTCTCCTTTTTACAAAGACCTTTTCTTCTCCTTCCTTCTTTCCTTTTTACAGTTTAAACTGTTAGAATAAAATATTAAACTCCCAAAATATGTATCACAACTATTAAGGACATTTACATCCCACAAATTGCTCATTACAGAACTCTCTCGATCAGCATGAGGTACTTAACAGGACATTTTTCTAACCCTAGAGAATATCACAGAACCAAGACAAGGACAGTCAGGCCAGAGACTCAGTGCATTTTAGATGAGATATGGTCAACCTTGGAAGAAGATGCTCCAGACTGGAACTGTGTCGCTGGATTTTAATAATTCCAGATACCACTAATGAGGAAATCACAGAGCTCAAATTTCAGCATATGAAACAGATAAAATTACTACTACCAAAATTATTATTATAAAGATGGATGTTATTGTAATGAATATCCTTGCATTGAAAAGTTAGGATCACTTAGAGATGTATGAGAAGCAAAGCCAATACTTGGAGCACATTATTATAAAAAAATGCCAGCTGAACAAGGCTGACAATGGTAACCTGTAAAAGAAGGGGATGGAGTGCCAAGAAATGCACAAAAAATGGGGCAACTGCAGGCCTACAAAATAATGTCACAGACAAAACCCCAGTCTGTATCACAACTAAAGGAGTGATTAATAGAGAACCTGATCTTCCTTTAAATTAGTAATTTAGAAGCTCAGGGTTTCAGTTGAACAGTAACAATATTAATAACAATAATCTGTGTAAGATGTTTTGGAACCACCATGTTCAGACATTCCTCTTTTTTCTCTTTGCTTCAGATGTAAGCCAAAATATCTGGGAGAGCTCAGCCTCCTAAAACATCAAGTGTTGCATGTCCAAGACACCCCCACTACTGTTTCAAGTAATTTAGCCTCCAGGAGACAGCTGGAAAGATTATCTATTGATCCAAAAGCTACCAAACACTGATCTATTT